ATCCTCATGTGAATATTAAGACATTGTTTGTTTGAGAAACATTTTTCACACTGTTCACACGCATACGGCTTTTCTCCCAAGTGCATTTTCATGTGTCCTTTAAGATGTGCTTTCTGTGTGAAGCTCTTCCCGCACTGATCACATGTGTGTGGTCTTTCTCCAGTGTGAACTCTCATGTGAATCTCAAGACATTGTTTGTTTGAGAATCTCTTTTCACACTGATTGCACATGAACGGTTTATCTCCGGTGTGGATCCTCATGTGAAGCTCCAGACTTTGTTTATTTGGGAAGCTCTTCCCGCACTGATCACATGTGAACGGCTTCTCTCCAGTATGAACTCTCACGTGACGTTCAAGATGGGATTTACAACAAAATCTCTTTCCACATTCATGACATTTGTATGGTTTCTCTCCAGTGTGAATCCTGATGTGCCATTTAAGTTGTCCTTTCTGTGTGAAGCTCTTCCCGCACTGATCACAGGTGAACGGTTTCTCTCCAGTATGAACTCTCATGTGAAACTTAAGAATACATTTAGTTGTCAAACTCTTTCCACACTGAGTGCAGGTGAAAGATTTCTTGCCTCTTCGTTTCTTTAAAAATGTATTTTTAGTCTTTGAGCGACTCAAAGGTTTTTCTCCAGGTTTGTCATGATGTTCCTCCTCCTCTTCACTCAGTTCTTCACTCTCCTCGTTCTCTTCTATGAGGCCTGAAATGAAAGATGTCAGCACTAATATAATAGCAGAAACTAGGTGTGCTACTTAAGACTTAAGCAGTTTTGTGGTCCACACTGTGTGATTTTGGCCAAGCCTGTGTCAGCCTCGCCACGAGGATGCACTGTTTTTGTTCAAATCAAAGCGTAAACACACATAGAAAACGTATCCTTGTAGCGCGGCTGACACAGAAGAGTGTACTTAGTGCGTCCTGCGGATATTCTCCAAAATGGTGCTATGGTGACGCGAAGACACAGAGGAGATGAATTATTGAATATAATCATTATTTTTATTTTCTTTGCGTACAAAAAGTATTATCGTTACTTCATTAGATTCAGATTGAACCACTGACGGCAGATGGAGTATTCTGATAATTTCTTTCATACTTTTCTGGACCTTGACAGTGTAATTTACTTGGCAGTCAATGGGACAGTCACGAGCCTCCCAGTTTTCATCTAAAATATCTTAAATTGTGTTTCGAGGACGAACAAAGCTTTCACGGGTTTGGAATGACATGGGGGTAAGTGATTAATGACAAAATTTTCATTTTAACCCTTTAAGAGCATTTCTGATAAGTTTTATACATACGGGCCCTGATGAAGTGCTTGAATCTTGATCACATTAATGTTCTTCAGCATCATGAATGAAGAATACACACCAACCTTCTTCAGTATCTTCAGTGTGTTTGATTCTGCAGGGTTCTGGATCTCTCATCTTCTCTCTGTCCTCTTTAATAAACTCAGTCTTTGCAGATCTTTTTTATGCTCAAACAGCAACATTAGAGACTAATTAAAATTGAAAAAGCGAAAAAGCATATTAGCACCCCTTTAATATTGATGAGCCTCAGATGATCAACACTCATTCAACAAGACATGCAGATCATCAGCAGATCATCTCACTTTATTCTGAGTGTTTGCTGATAGAAACTGATTATATGAGTCAGGATGTATGCTAAAAGCCTATAAAACTGCTATATGGAAAGGCAATACTATTATATTGTCATATTTTCTCATAATATGCATTGCATGGATAAAACATCAGCAATACAAAAACAAACACTAATGACACTCATCTTCATCAACTACTACAGCTAAATAACTACAGCAGCATAATATGTATGCGAATCTAAATATAGTCTGATTTTATGATAACTACACTCTAAAAAATAAAGCGAAAAAGCATATTAGCACCCCTTTAATATTGATGAGCCTCAGATGATCAACACTCATTCAACAAGACATGCAGATCATCAGCAGATCATCTCATTTTATTATGAGTGTTTGCTGATAGAAACTGATTATATGAGTCAGGATGTATGCTAAAAGCCTATAAAACTGCTCTATGGAAAGGCAATACTATTATATTGTCATATTTTCTCATAATATGCATTGCATGGATAAAACATCAGCAATACAAAAACAAACACTACTCGTCTTCATCAACTACTACAGCTAAATAACTACAGCAGCATAATATGTCTATGTTAATCTAAATATAGTCTGATTTTATGATAACTACACTCTAAAAAACGCTGGGTTATTTTTTAACTAAATTGCTGAGTTATGCCTGTTGGGTCATTATGTTGGGTTATTTTTCCAGTGTTGGGTAGTTTTTGTGTAACCCAGCTGTTGGGTTAGTGGGTGGCTGGCTGCTCGCGCGTATCCCCTAAAACCAGGGGTCTGCAACCTTCAATGTCAAAAGAGACATTTCCCAACGAATAAAGTTCACAACAACGATGAAATGATGAAGTGTAGGTGTGAGACTGCCACCAATGGTCAGAATATTATAGACAAAATAATAATGATTAGC